CATTCATTTTTTTTGTAGGATTCCTGGAAACCCTGAGTTGTGCTGACAACAACAATTGGGGGAGAGGGATTTCATCTTCAAAATCGCTGGTATTACAAAAAGAAGTATGTTGCGAGCCTAAGAAAAAAAGTCGAAGAAATTTCAAAAATCAATTATGATACCTTAATATGTAATCCGAATTATCATCATCATCAGATATAAAAACGGCTTCAGGCTCGGTCTAAAAGAATCTCACCAGTTAGCAATTGTTCAGTCTTGATTGCTATAAATTAATCAGAACAATTTGCTTCGTTGTGAAGACCATACCTCATCCTCTTCTTTATCTGTTTCATTGGAAATTTCTCGTTTATTGTTTATGTTTTCCGATTTTCGTCGTTGCTTAATCGGATTTGTTATTTTTTGTTCAGAGGGTCCTTGAAAGAAATTATCAATCTCGGAATTAAGGGTTCCTTCATTGCACCCAACAGGTCCAACTACAGTGCCCCCAACAGGTCCAACTACAGTGCCCGAAATTATAAATGAGGGTCCACTGGCTGAATTGTGCTTCTTAGTTGCCTTCCATTTTTGCGCTACTTTATAATCGGGCCGTTTATCCTAGGACAAAAAAAAAATTAGTAATATTCTCAACTAGTACTTTTACAATCCTTTGTCTGGTATATGTCCCACTGGTTGCCCCGAAGGCTTAAACATCAGATGAACCCAAAGTTACCCAATGTCCCAGAAGGGCTAGTGTTGGTCGCCCCGAAGGCTTGATCACCAGATGAACCCGAAGTTACCTGATGCCCCAACACTAGCTTTGTGGCTGAACCCGAAGTCTTGAATTATAAGATTCTCTAAGAACCTTATAACGCCATTTATACTTTCTATTTCAAAGAAAAAGACTCATACTTGCCTTCCTATAGTTATTTAGCAACAGACGTGCCTTATCCCTTCTTTTGCCTTTCTCTATGTCAGCAATAATCTCAAGAGATGATATATATGATTCTATTTTACGGTGGTATGGTTCTAGGTCGCACTCTTCCAAGAAATCAGTAACATTCCACTTTGACGATGCCCTTTCAAAATATTCGTGTATAGACATGATTAAAAAAAAATAAAATTTTGCAGAAAGTAAACAGTGTGGAACTGGAAAAAATTTTTTTCGCGCGTATGCCACGAGTTAGTAACAATCAGCAGGTCACACGATTACATCATCCATGAAAAGTTCCATAACCTTCTAATTTACAAAATCCAAGAAAATCAAATCACTCGAATCTATGATCAAGAAATTGGAAAGTAAGTTGTCTTCAGCCCAGAAAGATGTGATTTCGATTAAAAACAACTTGTCAAAAAAAGATTCCGAGAATTTATCTCTCAAATCCAAAATCACTGAATTAGAAAATATGAAGAGTGAATTGGAATCGAAAGTCAATGAGCTTCAGTATCTTAAATCGGAGGCCATATCAAAATCCATAGTTGGTGGAGATGTCGAGGAGCATAGCTCCATTGTTTCCACAATAAAAAATACGCAGAGCGGGGAACAAAGTTCCATAACCAAGTCTGATGATATACAGTATCTTTGGATAGTACTGATCTCAGTAAATATTTTATACGCAGAAAAAATACACTGTGTGAGGAACAAAGTCCCATGGATTCTATAGAAAAAATCGATGGTAATATATGTCTTGACACTAGCTCCGCTATCTCAGCATATACCAATAATGAAATTACCGAACCATCAAAAAATAATACTGAGATCAACCCCAAGCTAGGTGATGAAACTAGCATTAGCGAGATTAGTGAGGACCTTATATCCCGATCTCAAGACTCGAAGAGCCATTGCTCTGCAATAGAAATCCCGAATATAACTCCTTACCTTGCACAGCCGGAAAATAATAGCAGAGCTAGTGCCAAAGCACATATGTCCTCATTGATTGAATCGAATTCTCAAATTCCGATAGGAGGAATAGGAGCGATCCTGCTGTGGCAAGTACTTTGATGTCACCTCTATCATATATATTACTTGCTCTGTTAATTATTGCCGTTATATGGTTCGTGAGATGCACGTGGAATATAGGCAAAAAAAGTGATCGGCTACAGGATGCGTGGACTAGGTATTAGGAATTATCTATTTAAACTTGAGTATTTTTTATGTATGAAAAAAATATAATTAATATTGTATAAGTATCTTACTTAGTAGATTGTGGCGATCTTAACTAAGAATACTTAACAATATAGGTCAATAATATCATCGATGTCTGATGGATTATTTTTTTCACTGCCATATATAATTGATAGTGTTTGAAGACGGGTGATCTCAAGACCAACCACCTTATGCCATGTATTCCGGAAATCTATTAATTCCCTACACTCTGATTCCAAATCATATAGAAATATATATTGTTCCAGAATTGTAATTTTAGGTTTGCGTTTTTGCGCCTGCGTAATTAAATCATATATCGCATTTCTATATTCTACATTAAGCTTAGACAATTTTGAAAGTAGATCCGATAATATTGAATGAGTAGAGTCTGTAATTTTATCTAACGCATTAAGATAACCGTTATACCTCGTAGAAGAAGACCTAGTTATGTCAGCTTTACTAATACCAGAACATATTTTTTCAGCATGAGTAGTAGCATCTTTCCATAAATAAGAGATAATAGCTTCATTTTTCTTCGGAGCATCACGTAAGTTCTTAATATAATTTTTGAGCCACTTTTTAGCTGACTTCTGTGATTCTTCATCTTTAATTTTTGCTATTTCATCTTCATCTAGACTCGAAGAGTCACTGCTTTGCAATAAATTCTTAGCAATTTTTAATTTCTTCTCCTTGGATTTCTTTTTGCGATCCAAGACTTTTGAGATGAAATCCCTCTCCCCCAATTGTTGTTGTCAGCACAACTCAGGGTTTCCAGGAATCCTACAAAAAAAATGAATG